TTGGGCGCCCGGAAGCCTTCTTCACAACAATTGAACCTCCCTTCTTGAAATTCTTCTTGATCTGATAAATAATTGATTTAGGTGCAATCTTACTTGTCTATGAAGCTATCTTTGTGCAAAGCAATGTTGACTGCATGTGTATCCTTGCAGGTAACCAGGGTTAACAGAAGAAGAACAATGATTTCAAGCACCATCCTCCTTTTAAAGCATCCAGTCTGCTATTCTAACTCAATCAGCATGACAGAGTGATCTCCAGCCTTGTCCTCATCAACACTGTCACCTGTGTTAACGAGAGAACCACTGAAATGATGTCAGCAGGTCCTTTTATGGCAGGACTGAAATGTGGTGGAAATGGGTTTTTGGGATTAAGTTCATTTTCTTGGCAAATATTTACTTTGCAATTAATTGCAGTTCATGTGATCACTCTTCATAACATTCTGGAGTATAAGCTAATTGCCATCATAAAAACTGAGGCATCAGATTTTGTGAAAACCAAAACTCATGTCATTCTCAAAGCTTTTGGCCATGACTGTATAGGCCAGGGGTATTCAACTAAAATTTAAAGAGGTCCAGTTAGACAAAACTTCTTGAAGCAAAGGTCCGGAAGATTATAATGTTTAACTATTTAGTGTGATCTATATTTAAGTAGCCTATTAGCTGTACCAACATTGCATGTAATCAGTACCTGACTGTCAAACCAAATTAATTCAGTACAATTCAAAAATGTTTTGACAATATTTGTCACGTGACATAGAACTTCGGGCAGCTGGCTGGAGTGAGATTTTCAATTCGAGATGTCTGCACACATGTAACAGTTCTTACCTCGTAAATAGTCTGCTTTTGTATTTAACCGTGTAAATACACTTTTGACGTAGCTAATTTTAGGTTTTATAATGAAATATAGATTTGCCGTAAGATTTCCAGCGTGAGTCTGAAAGCGTGAGTGTCATGCCAGATGCTTGAGATTTGGCAGCCATGAAATGTACATTTTTTGTTTCACCCGAGTTTATTTATATAACAGATACCATTACTTTATACATATGTTAAAAAGCAGAAACTTCAACGAACATGAAATCAACAATAAACTACGGCTATTTATCCAATATGTTATATAATACATACTGTATTTGAAAACTGTTCAGCTTTACGATTTCAGGACAGACCAGTCACTCTGTTAGGAACATTACGGCTTTTTGGTTGTGGGTTTTAGCTTCGATGCTACTACTAACACTAACGGCACATTAGCGTAGACAAAGGGCTGCATACGCCGAACTACATCTTGCTTGGCGTTCAAAGGCGCTTGACGTTCATTGGCGTGGGAAACGGCGGCTCTACTGCTAAACCACTACCAGAAAAACTACAAACGCTGCGCCGGTTAAAATAGAAGCGTCCCGTCAGGTTTTAAATAATAACAATGTTTTGGCTATCGGTCCGGGTCCGTATGGGACAGCTTCTGGGTCCGGACCCGGCCCGCGGTCCGCCTGTTAGTGACCTCTGATCTACAGGCTTAGCAGATGTGGATGGAGGCAGTTTTTCCCATTCTTCCTTGCAGAACTGCTTCTACAAGTTTGAAGGCTTTCATTGACAGCATATAGACTATATATTTCATTGACAGCAATAGCACTGCAATTTGGAGATTTGCTTTTAAAGGTGAATGTGTACTTGCGTACTAATTACATGCAGTACTGATTATAACAAAGATTGTATCAGAAATTCGGATCGGTATCGGCGCCGATCCAGACCTATTTGACGGATTGGGCATCGGCCATGTGTGACCAATCCACGTCCTATACTTACTTATTTAGTTTTTGGCAATCTCTAAAAAGATATTTAACACGAAATAGGAGCTATTTCCATAATCAATCGCACGACAGCTCTTTAATAATCGACTAATCGTTTTAATAGTCGATGACTAGTCGACTATCAAAAGTCGTTAGTTGCAGCCCTATTTGGGTTGCCGTTAAACAAACATCTTCAAGATTCCAATATGGAAGGTAACCGATAAAGTAGAGCTGGGCGATATGGCATAAAAATAAAATCTCCGATTTTTTCACAAAAAATCCAATTTCCGATTTTAATCGATTTTCCCCTCCCCTACTCAAACTCAAACTACAGATGACAAGAATGGTTCAAAACAAGTTTTAACTTTTAGCTGTTTTTTACTTTAGGGTTAAAGTGCAATCTGACAAGCCATAAATGATGCTCATAAGTGAGATGGCAGACCACGCCATTGTAAACACTTTTAGAAACTTGTAAAAACTTTTAGAAAGCTTTCTCTATAGCTTATTTTCAAACTGGCAACAACACAATACGCCCTCAAACTTATAAAAGTAATATTGTAATAATAATAGAAAAAAAATACACAATTTTATCATGTCAGCTTGGTATTAAG